ATGGCAATATTTTGCCATCCAAGCAGCCAAGCGGGGTGTGTCCTCAACGGCAGTTAAGTAAGGCGAGCAATCCCAAACGGCAGCTAAGTTGGCTTAAGAAGAAGGGCTTTATTGCTTTGATCCCAGAGTTTAAGGACTTATATGCATCAATTAAAATCTAGGGGCTTAATAGCGATTCTGGGGTTAGTTTAACTTACGGTTTTGCCATTTTTATTTTGACAAAACAAGTAACTTGTTGAGGTCGGTCTGACATGGATGCTTCCAAGTCTCTACTTCCCTGCAATTTGTTGGTATTTTTACTGCTTTTGATTGGTAATGACAGAGTATATGAAACCTTGAAAAGTGAAAACATTAGATTTCCTGACCTAACGTTGCGTTCTAATCTTTACATTTTATTTTTTTTATTTGTTGTACAGAATCGCATGAGATTTTAAACTTTTGAAAAGACCGTTTGTTCCCTAGGTGATAAGGTCGGTGCCTTTCTTTTTCTTCATTTCACATTTATTATCTAGTCTAGATTAAAATGAACATTTCTTTTACTGGTACCCTAGACGATAAGGTCGTTGCCTTTCTTTTTCTTCATTACACATTTGTTCCCTAGTCTAGATAAAAATGAACTCCACCAAATGGGTTGATGGGTCGCACGTCTCATTGAGGGAGGTGAAATGTTCACCAGATTTGAAAATGAAATCTTTAGTTATTAACAATTAATAAAATTAACTTACTAACTATTGTCTTTATAAAAAAAAAAAAAAAAGACTAAAATGAATATTTCTTTATGAGAATTTTAATTTATAGTTTGGACTACATTAGATTATAAAACAAAAATCATTGAATGGGGAAGGGTCTCAATAACAAAACGTCCAACCTCATCCAATGATTAGTGTTATATAGTTTGATATAGTTCAATTACACACCATTTTTTCCTACTACTACTAGCATACCAAATTACACACCATTTATTCCTACTACTACTAGTATACCGTCAGCACAGAAAGATATGCTCGCATCTCCTTAACAAGAATCCTATACTCTTGACAAAAGTCATTCATGATAATTGAGATTCTATTAAGCATTTCAAATATTCAAACTTGTTTCTGTCCATACATTCTAGATTAGAACAGCACATGTGAATGCGATAATATGTACAAATGCATACAAGACAAATGCACATTCATGATTCCACCAAAAAAGATAAGAAAGAAAAGGTAGAAAACTAAGCCATGCCCTAAAACTGCTAAAGTGGGGACAGCTGCAAAACAGTAAAATGGAACCCGAATTTCTTTCCCTTTTCCATTTAGGTCCAACCCTGTTTGTAGCGGCGGAAGAGGTCCTCCGTCTGAGCATTCCGGAAGGCGCTACAAGCAATGATATAGACCCAGATGAGTACAACAACCGCCACGATCAGGATTATGTTGGCCTTCCTCCATTCTGTCCTGAGGTTCCCCAAAAGTCCGGCCTTGCAGGAGTTGCAGCTATAGCAAAGCTGTCCCTGGTCGTTGCTCCACAGCATGCAGTCAGGGTCGCCGGCTTGGTTCACCGGGTTGACCCAAAGGGTCGGGTTCACGTAAGTGTACCCGCAAGCTGTTGGTGGCTTACAACATCCAGACTGTCATTGAGCGCAAAAAGAAAACTTTTATTAATGTAAGAAAGAAACAAAAAGGAGTAACTGATACACTTTTAATTTGTTCAAAATCCCATGATTTCGTGCTAAGAATGGAGGTGGGTGGGCAATTCATTCATATTTTTTTTTTGGCAGATATTTTTTTCTCAAAAGAGATAATTTTTTATAAATTTTTTAATTTTAATATGAATTATTTATCTTTGATCTAATTAAAAGGGAATTAATCTTGAAGTTCTAGTTGGGAAACACTTTGACCACTAAACTAAAAATAAATAAATAAAAATTTCATCTTAAAATTTTGTTCTAAAATTTGGTTTTAAAAGTTATTATTATTATTTTTATAATATAACTTTTGATATCTAAAAATCGTATTAAATTTTAATTAATTTAAAATCAAGTTAAGTTAGACTCATTAAGAAAAACTTCCTTACTGTATATTTCTTAATTCACAAAAATCAAACTCAAAACTTTATTTTTAAAGAAATTAAATTTTTTTTACTGGGATTAATAAATCATTAGTATTATTTATTATATAAACATCACATTAAAGTTTCATAATTTCAATTTAAAATTTGATCTTAAAAATTAGTATTTTTATATAAACCTCATATTAGAATCTCATATTTTTTTGAAGAGTGATTCAAATCTCATTCTTAGCAAGATACATAATTAAAATCATTTAAAAAAAATTAATTTTAAGATACATGATAAGTTACTCAAAACATCCTAATAGTCAAAAGGATTAAAATTATTCCTCATAAAAAGGTTTCTCAACCAAATTTTGTGCCCATTTGATGTAACATAAAGTTTTAATAAAAATACATTAAACTTTTAATAAAAATTTTATTAGAAAGAAATTATTATAAAAATATTATTTTTGTAAATAAAAAATAAAAATAAAATAAAAATAATATATTAATTTTATTAAAATTTAAATAAAAAACATATGTAAAAACACTAATTTAATACTTTCAAAACTTACAGTAAAATAAAAACAAATTA